GTTTTTTATTTCCTGAATAAGAGTAAATTTCCGCCAAATTTGGCATTACAAAGCTTTTAACATGGCATTTTTTTTCAAACTTGGCAAATTACTCCTATTGAGGGAATAAAAAACATGATACTCCTATTTTGGAATTTCAAAACGTTTTTACACCTATTTAGAGCAATTTCTCACATACTCCATTATATTCAGGGCAATTTCTGATATACTCAGCTCCGTATAATCAATTAAGTTATTGTACTTCAGTTACGTTTAAGATACGGTTTGTTTGATTATCTGGTATGAGTATGTAATGGGTAAGTGACTAATTTTAATAATTTAGAAACGTGATTTTCTATTTTTCTCTATTATAGATGATATTTCTAAAAGTGGTATTTATATTCTGAACAGTTTTGAATTTGTGGTTTACATTTGTTATACACGATTTCCTTTTTTTTTTAACGAAACTGGCTTTATATATCATACCAAAACGGACCAAACAGACCAAACTAATCCAGGTAACCGTGTGACGACAAGTCCCCTTTCTACCGTCCGCCCAAGGACCAGACTCTGAATTAATCACCTCCGTAGAAGCCATATAATTCGTTGATCCCGCTTTGCGCATACCTGAGCCTATGACTTGTAGACACGACCCATCAGTACCTGTTTTAGCTATCAAAGTATTCTTGCTGGAAAACCTCAGCAGCATCAAAACAAAAACAACATCCAGAACGTGGAAAATAAACAAAACGCAATAATTGGAATAAAAAAGTTCTTTAGCTAAAAAAGTTGTAACCAGCATCAAGTCCTCTGGCGGGGCTGGAGACCAACGCCCGCCCCAACCCCGTTTTTTGGAGAGTCCAACGCCATTGCATCCAATCCAGCAGCCTCCCTTGCCTGGGCCTCCCAAGTGCGCCTCCTCTTCAGCTCTCCGATCATTCCTTCCTCTTCGGGCTCGCCCGAGACCACCCCCTCTCCCGCACCCGCAAAAGTGTTCTCCCCCTTCTCCTCCGGGACCCACTCCTGCCCTGGTTTCACCAACTGAGCCAAACGCATTTCACCAACTTCCACTTGCTCTAAGCCACGGCCCAAATGTTTTAGTCATAGCTTGTCCCTCCTTTTCGTACAGCAAGGGGCAAAATTTCTCACCATGGCCAATCATGCCACAGCAGAAACAGAAGCTTGGCAGTTTTTCGTATTTAAAATTTACCCAGTGCCCTTCACCCTTACTCTTCCTTAGAGTAATTCCAACCTTTAATGCTCTATTAGTGTTCATACGAACCCGCACACGCATATAAGCCTCTTTTTTACTACTAAATTTTTGTTCATCCCATGTGATGAACTCCCCCAGATAGTTCCCTATTCTCCTTGCCGTACCCAAATTTTCAAAGTCATATGGCACATTATGGACCTGTACCCATATCTCAAATTCATCTAGCACCATTTCAGATGGGATATCACCCGGTTTAACAGCTTTTAACACAAGCAAATTTTGTTTAAACAGCCATGGTCCATTTTCCAGGACTCGATTCATATCAACAGAATGAAAAAACTTAAACAGATACTTTCGTTCACCCAGTTCTTGTATGACAATACCTCTTCCCGGGTGCCATAGCTCAGCCATAAATCCTCGGAAGAACGGGAATTGGATAACCTTGTCTGTGAGAACCTTCCCCACGACCGTGAATTCCTTTGCCTTCACTGCCCCTGCTGTCCTGTCCCCATCTTCATCATCTTCAATCAGCAATTCGTCCTCCACACCCCCAATTCCCAAGCCTCCATACTTAGCCACAATCTCCCCAACCTGTCGTTAAATAAGGGTATTATATTTTTCCGAATAATTACTACTCCGTATTATTTTTTTTACGAGAACCAACACAACTATATTAATAATGAATCGTTAGCCAAGGGGCTTACAATGCAGTTTGGAACGTTATCATAGCTAAGACTACAATCTGAGATAGAGGCATGTGTTCTCGTCAAAGTGTGAGCCACACAATTCGCAGATCGTCGACAAAAGGCGAATTTAAAATTTCTCAGACTATAGAGCAAAAATTGAATATCAACAAGGAGCAGATTCAGATATGCTAGGCCTCCTTCGCGACTGACTCCTCGAACCACCGTTTGAGCATCCGTCTCCACATCCACCGATTCCCAGCCTTCCTCGATGCCTGCTTTAATCGCCTCTCTTACCCCAAAAGCTTCAGTTTCCTCTGGTGACCAATTCGCCTTGCACGAGCCACCCCCTGCTTTTACAAACTCACCCCGATCATTCCTTGTCACCCAGCCCCACGCCCTGGTGCCTTACTACTCCGTATTATTTAAAAAAATCATGCGAAGTATTATATTGAAATGTTAATGTCTAATAATATCATAATAATATGGCTGATTCCAAGATGATCGTACTTTACTCGTGTTTAAAGGAAAAAATAATACCTTATTTAGGGAAACCATGCATCTTTTTAATTCCTGGACTTTGAAAAACATCCCATATTTAAAGTTACTTTCAGCATTAAAAAGCTATTGACTAGACTGGTTACGTTGATGGACAATGTATACTTACAGTTGTATTGAACTGCAAGAGTGAAATGTGAGTATAGTCAAAATTAGGACTTAGGAGTTTAGGGGGGTTGGAATCAATTCTGTTTCTCCTTCTTTTTTAAAGCAGAAACAGAATCAGAATTAGTTTTCAGAAGCTGGTCTCCCCCAACTTCTAAAAAAGCTGATTCTAGGAGTAAATCAGAGCACCAAAATCACTTCTGCACTTTCACCCAAACACTCCAACTTCTGCTTCTCTCCTTGAAGGAGCAGAGACAATTTTAAGAATCAGGTCCAAACACCCCTAAGATGGAAAAAATTAAGTATATTTATACGGAGTAGTCGTTTTTAGGAATGCGAGTTGTGCGTATTGATTTAAGAATCCGAATTGAAGCTAGATAATTATTTCAGTGTGCGTTACCCTACCTGCAGAAGTAATAGAAGAGTAGTTGATGATATGCGCAAAATTAATTACTGCATGCATATCCATTGCGCACTAAGCTAGTGACATAACAAACACTATTGAAGTAATTATGATAAATAAATGTATAGGACGCGAGAGTAAAATAATACTCCGTACTAAATTGTGTATATACCCTTCGTCCCGGACGTTTCTTAATGGAATCTTTTTTATTAAATTCTTTCACCTGCTTATCAAATCTAGTTTATCCATATGATATTTCAACTAAAAAAAGTTTGGGGTAAATTTGAGTTTGCACCTCATTTTATTGTCCAAATTGGACTTTGCACCCCGTTTTTAAAAATCGTTGTATTTGCACCCCAACCCCGTATGAAAAGACAAAAATGTCCCTCCATTAACAATTCTGTTGGCCTTCAACATATTCCTGATCGAGGGCATTTTTGTCTTTTCATACGGGGTTGGGGTGCAAATACAACGATTTTTAAAAACGGAGTGCAAAGTCCAATTTGGACAATAAAATGGGGTGCAAACTCAAATTACCCCATAATTTTTTGAAGATAACGTTGCTAATATATACATAGTACATATAAAACAAAATTATCTTCAAAAATGTATTTGACCGTCATCAGATTAAATTTTTCACTAAAATTTTTTGTGGATGAACTAGATGTGATGAGGAACATGCTCAAAAAAAATATCAAAGAAATCCACGAGGAACCGTTCCAAACGGCGGCGGCCAAACAAATGATCTTGTCCCTCCGACGGGACAAGATCTTTTTCGAGTGTGTGTATAAAGGCAGTTCATATCACTAGATCTTGATCGGAACCGCCATACAAAATTCGATGTACGAAGTGATTCCAGGCGGAACTAATGGAGTGTTTGCGATTGCTTGTGCTTTTTGAAAGTGATTTTTTTAAAAGATTATTGGAAAAGTGATTTATAGTAAAAGTGGATATTGTTTGTAAATAGAAGTGATTTTGGTTAAAAGCTAAAAGTTGATGTGTTTGATAAAAAAAGTGATTCCTAATGTAGTACGAAGTATTTTATAAAATTACAAAAATAACCTCCAATAAATTAGATAGCCATGACTGTACAATAACATGCTCTGGACGGAGATCTAAGATACGCATGCCCGTATACTCAACCAACTTTTATATGTTCCATCAGTTGCCATTACAAGGAGATAAAATGGAGAAACGTTGAAAATGAGTTCGAATATACTCGTGTATGTTAAATCAAAAGAGTGTGCTAATTATAATTGACATACAAATTAAAAGGGAATTTTACAGAGAAAAACGGAAAAAGGATTTGGGCACAACAGAGACCGACGGCGGCGAAGCAGATCGACGACGGCGATGGAGATCGACTGCGGTGGGGGCGAAGGAGAATTTCCATTTGGAGGACGAAGTAGATCATCTATGGTGGCGGTGAAGTAGACTAGTTGTGGTGGCGGCAAAGAAGAGTGGTAGAGCGGTGGTGGGCTGGTGGCGAAGCACATCGGCGGCAATTTTTTGATGACGGAAGGACGAGTCTTGCGTATGATGATGCTTTGGAACAATGGAATGTAGGCCTGTATGATGCTTGTGGGGTTGTGGGGACTAAGGGTATTTTTGAATTAACCTATATATTTAGAAATAAAATTATACCAAAAGTTGAAGTTATTTACGCAAATATCAAGAAGCAGAAAAAAGCATGTCCAGACCAGCTTTTGGCTTTTGGCTTAAAAGTGATTAAATTAAACTGATTTTTTCTTTTGCAAACACCTCAATTAGCTTTTACCCTCCAAAAAAGCTGAAAGTGTTTTTTTAAGCATTAGCAAACACACCTTAAATGCAGTATGAAGTGATTCCATGTGAACTAAATGCTCTGTGCTAAATTCGCTGCATGTCGCCGGTTGATTTTTATTCAAACTTCTAATTTAACTCCTGGCCGACTGTGGTCTAGCTTTGTTATAAATTCTCATAAGAAGAGATCAATTTCGAGAATAGTTCAAGTATGTTTAACATAACTAGATAAAAAGATATTTTTATGATTTTTTATTAACGGTTAGCTTTAAAGGACCGGAAATATATTAAAGAATAGGGAAAAAGACATAAAGAAAACTAAAACATACCCATGGAAGGCAATAGGACCTCCCACTTTCTAATTCACGGATAGGACTAATTTTCACATGAAGGGACAAAAATACCCTCCCTCCTCAGCTCTATCGACTTCTCTCTGCGAAACAAAAAACAGCGACACCTCAGTACCTCACAACAACGAACACCAAACTTGACCATATAAACTCCATCGTCGGACCTTAGCCGAACCCGGTCAAATCGAACTTCCCCCAGCAGCCAGAGCAACGATTTAACTCTCTCTTGGCAGCAGATGCTGAGACATCATCGTCTCTCTCGTCGGTTTCTTGTCCGGCGGGGTCTATTTGTTCAGATCTGGAATCAACCACGCAGGAGACGACCTCCGGAGGTAGATCCAGGGTGTTCCGCGAACTTGAGTGGAATCGCCGCCGAGGAACTCGAGGAGCTGGATGTGGATACGGTGGTTGTGGCGAACCACTTTTAACACATGCTGTCGGTGGCAGGATTGCCGGCGTGATGCTTTCTTTCATGGCCACGAACTTCGTCTCCTCTTTATTTCTGATGTAATAGTTGATGAATGTGAGATTGTCATTGGTGTTGCTCCGTTTGCTGATTGTGCTCTACCGTATAATTCAATCCCTCTCCAATTTCTTTTTAATTTTATGCAATGAAAACACCAGAAAACTGCCCAAATTTCTCTTTCATTATTTCCTTCTTTGAATGTTGAATGTATCAATTAGTTTACTAATTATTGAAAGTAAAATAAATATGTTTTGAATTTAAATATTTAATTACCTTTCCTTTTTTTATTTAGTGGAAATAATGGCATATCGATGTCATTAATTATTTTAGAATCATATGCGTTGCAAAAAATGTCCCAATATTAAAAGTAATATTAGTGCTAAAATAAGTTTAATTGTAAAAGATATATTACACTACTGTTACAATGAGAAACAATATCAATGTTATGACGTTGTTTATTGTACATAACTATTGTTATGGAATTACAATGACATATCTTGACACAATGGCAATGTCAATGACAATGTAATAAAAATGTCAATGTATAAAAATGTCACTTGATTAAAAAAATGTCACAATGGCAATGTCATTGTCGATGCTATAAAATGACATTGTAATTATGACAATGTTAATTTTATTTTATTTTAAAAAAAAGTCACAACGTCGAAAAAATGTTGTAATGTCAATTAATCACGATGACAATGTCATAAAGAATGTCAATGACAATGTCATAAGAATGTCAATCATTATGAAAGTGACAATGTTAAAGTTAATGCCAAACTATAAAATATAATTTTTTATTTTCAGTAGGTGCAACGTTTGCAAGACAAAGCCTATTCACATTCATTATTTTATACTTTATATTTTTTTTCCTCGACTGTTAAAATATAATTATGACAACGAGAATTATTAAAAAAAATGACATTGTCTATTTTCAATAAATGTCATTATTAAAATTATGACAATGTCCTGATAATGACAATTATACTAATCATTTATCAACAATGCATCATATGATAATGTTGATATCATTGTAAAATTATACTAGCATATATCAATTTTTTTTAAATGAATGACCAATAGATAAACAAAAACAATAACAGTAATACCAATGACTACAAAAATATTCAGTACCTCTCCACGGAAACACACACAGAATGTTAATGACAATGTTATAAGAAATGACATTGTGACAAAGATATAAAGACAATGTCATTAATAATATTGTAATAATGTGAAATAATAACAATAATGATTTTAACATTAATGACATTGTAATCAAACAATTTTGAAAAGAATATCAATATTACAAAAATGTCAAAATGTTAAAATCATTTATCAACATTTGAATAGTGTGACAAACTGACAGTGTTGATATCATTGCAAAATTATCCGACAATACCAAAGTGTTAGAGTAACAATGACATTTGAATCAAATATATCTAAAAAATAATTAATAGAAAAATATGTAAAAAAAGATAGAACTAAAAATTAAATAAATTAAGTAAATAGAATAACATTAAAAAAAATACGAAGTACGGGAAAAATAATGAAAGGAACCAGGTTGAAAAAAACAGAAGAGAATCAAAAGTTAGAAGCATAAGGAACGGGCTGGAAAAAATAAGTGGGACATTTCCCACATCTAAAAGAGAAACCGGATACTCCCAGATCTAAAAGAGAAGAAGAAGAGAAAGAGAAGGAGGAGGAGGAGGAGGAGAGGAGAGGAAAAGAGAGAACGTGGTAGGGCCTCCCACCGCACCGCCACACCGCCGCACTGCCGCACCGCCGCATCGCCGCACTGCTGCAACGCTGCATCTTCTCTGTCTTTCCCCATCAGCAATGTCACTATAGCTCAACTTTTCCATTATTTTTTAAGATGTGCTGCCTTATGGAGGAAGGAGAGAGGGTTTGACGAGGTTGTTGCCGAGAGATAAAGTTTGGCGTGAAAGGAATAGGTTGTTGCCTGGAGATAAAACAGGGACAATTTTGGAAACACGGAAAAATTAAGTCCTATTTAACAGTAAAAAAAGTCAAAGTCTTGTTTAAGTACATACCAAAAGCTAAGGTCCTATTTAACACCATTTCTCTAAAGAATATGGTGGTGGCTGTTTGATAAAAAGGTTGATTGTTTGATTAAATTGGCTAGGTATACAAACTGTTGGACTAATTAATGCTAAAAAATACTACCCCCGTTCTTAAATAAGTGTAACATGTTGAATTTTACAGTATTCACATGTTCTACTTTGACTATGTTTAATTAAATAATGTATTAATTTATTTTCTTGAAACAAATATTGTTAAATTTGTCTCATTGTAAATTTTCAAAATCTATTTTTTTTAATTTTTTTTACTAGTGAAGAATTATATATATTAATTGTCAAAGTTGTGGTTCGACAAGTTTGAAATGTTGACTGTTGCACTTATTTAAGAACGGAGGAAAAAAAAAGTGCATAAACACATTTGCGGTTGGCGTAAAAAACAAGAATAGATTCAAATTAAAAGATGATACTCCTGGCCTCCATTCCGAATTTGCATATATGCATGCATGTGAAAACTGAAAATTAAATGGTTAAATTAGTGAGATCGAATACAGCAATTGTATATAGAAAGGGAGTTTTGGTCATGTCGTGACTTCCGTAGGACAATGTGTCCGATCCGAACTATTCCGATATAAGCCGTTAGATGATAATTCATGGTCAGGATTGGAAATTCATTAAATGAGACTTACGTACATTTGCGTTGAATGAAACTATTTCTGATCTTCTCAATATCACTTTGTGTTCTTTGAAATGTTGTTGAGATCCAAGGGACTACTTCGCCATATAAAACACATGAATCTTCTTATTTTCTTCCCCAAAATTGATCTACTCCACATGTTTATGGTTCCTCTATGAAACTCTATCTCCCGTTCAATTTTGCAATATATCTATATATTGGACTGTTGTTAAACTTTGGGTCTTTTGGACTCTTTTCTATGGAATGCATCTGGGTTTTCTTTTTTGAATGACATCAATCTCAACTATTGATGTTTTTCATTCCAATTTTAATTATTTGATACTCCGTAGGGTATACGATTAATTAAAGTTGCATGTTGCAAAATTGAGAAGATGACGACATGTGAGTTCTAGATGTATAGGGGGCTTCTAATTTCAAATGCGATTATTGATACACTTGTAATTTCCGTGTGTATGTTTACGTTTTTAGCTAGTTTTGGTTGTTTAGTATTTCGGAAATTACACACTTTTGGTGTAATAGTTTAGTTTGTTGAATTCTTGTAATTTGTTTAGATTAGGGTCATTCTGAGCTCAAACAGGTCTACCATCACTCAAAGGACAGTTGGTGAACCCCAAAAGTGGAAGGAAGGTGCAAAATCACAAGACAAAAGGGAAAATCCTGATTTTGGTCTATACTCGGTCGAGTATTACCTATACTCGATCGAGTATAAGGTTGGAACTTCAAATCGGATCGGATCCGAAGACAAAGGAACATGCCGGGAAGATTTTGGCCACGATTCAGTGTCTATACTCGATCGGGTAGACCGACATACCCGATCGAGTATGCCTTTGAGTTTAAACCCGAAATTGGTCGAGTATGGCTCGAATATCACTTTCTACACATACTCGACCGAGTATGAACATATACTCGATCGAGTATACCTCGAATCTGGTATTTCTACACATACTCGATCGAGTATCTGTATATACTCGATCGAGTGCCCGAGCTGCACTCCCAAAAAGCCTATAAATACACCCCCTTTCCTTCACAATAAAAAACCAATTCCTATATACTCTTAAGCTCAGTTTAGAATAGCATTTCTTTATATTTCTTTTAGCATGTTTAGTCTCCAAATGAGGAGCTAAACTTCCATTTCTTGGTATTGCTCTTGAAGCTTGTTGATTATTAAAGTTGTGAGTTATTTTCTTAACTTCTTTTCCTTGAATATTAATTCTTCCTTTAAATACTATTTCTATATCAATGTTGGGGAGTGTTGCTAAGATGACAATTAGTTAACATCTTGACATTGGTTTTAGTAATAGCTATTCCTTCCTCTATGTTAATATCGGGGAGTGTTACTAAGATGACAATTAGTTAACATCTTGATATTAACCATAGTAGGATTCATCTTCTTTAATATTCTTCCTTGAATATTAATTAATCCCTATTCATATTTCATATTAATATTTTGAACATTACTTAAAGGATCAACTAGTTTTGTTTCACATATTAATTATTACTAGAAACGATCAACGAACCGATGGTTAATCGTTGATAGTTTCACAAGTAAGTAACTTCGGTTTATTAATGCACGGTCGTGGTTAATAAACTTAAGAGGGATTAATTTTGTTGGTTAAACCGAAACCGTTGTGTTGAGGTTATCAATCTCAATTGATTTCATCAAGGAGTTAAAAGATTAAATGCTACTATCAAGTCGGTATATGGCGTTGTTCTATACTTAACTAATAGTAAGGGTTATTAATGAACGGTTGTTGTTAATAACTATCCTCGATGAATTGGATATACTCCTCGATTGAGTATTCGAGAGGAGATAAGTTAAAGATATAACAATGATCGACTAAAATATATCAACAAGTATAAAGTAGCAATACCAAGTCCCTTTTATCTTTGAATTAAATCACATAACTCGTTCATCTTCGTGTTTAATTTTAATCAAATCACTCGATCAAAACCCCCCTTTTATTTACTAGTTACATAAAAAGAAGAGTTATTCCTTTCCCTGTGGATACGAACTCTACTACGCTATACTACGTATAAGTGCTAGTATTGAATATTATTTTGAGTGCACTCACGACAAAGTGCACGTCAAATTTGGCGCCGTTGCCGGGGAAAGACAATTATCTTTCTTTTTATTTTATCTCATAAAAATCAAAAACAAAAAAAAATAAAAAATAAAAAAATATTTAAAAAAAAACTTACTCTTCTATTTTCTGAGCTTACATGAGTTATGAGTATTTGGATGCCAACATATCATCCTTAGAGAGTCAAATTTCCTTCTTGACTTCTCTAATAAAGGAATTTATCTTAAACTCGGAAGCTCAAGATGCCAAGACATGCAACATTTGCATGTCTCACAGGCATTTTACGGATTTCTGCCCAAAGCTCCAAGATGAATACCTTGAACAAACTGATGATGTTGGTTACGAAAGAGATGTACCTCACATGAGGTATAATCCGTTCTCCAACTCTAACATGTCTACGGAGGATATGGTACGGGCTA